CTTGATACTTTGGTATTAAGAATGTTATGCAACTGACACAATGTTTCTGACACTTTACTTTTAAATACAATCAAACCATCATCGTTCCCAAAGGTTCTATAGAGAAGATCATCTTTTAGTACCAGGCGATTTCATTAACTCCAGTAGAACTTGACTTCTGGAGTACATGTACTAATGTCTTGCCAAGAAGGTAGATATCTCACTTCGAGCCATCCTATTTAATACTCTTTTTATACATGGATAGACTCACGGGGCAACTGCATAACCGAAATATGTTTCAACTTCATACAGAGAAATGCGAATAAGAAGGTTCAGAAACAGTCAAAGAAAATATTTATTATGACATTTTAATTTTCATTTTAAGGCACCAGCTTGCTAGAGATACTTGCTATTTATGCGACAATATCCAAGACACCGTAAGTTTAAAAAAAATATATCAAAAAACGTGAAGTCGTAGAAAAAGTACTTAGAGTCAAAATCAAGAAAAAAAATCTATTTTCAGACCAAAAGACTGGATAAACATAGTTCCTACTGTCGAAAAAATCAGTTAATTCATTTTATGTAACCAAATTGAAGAGAGAAGAATGTATCTTGAAAAAAAGTTCGAAGGTTACATTTCTTCTTATTTCTATTTACTTATAAGCAATTCTGCTTATTCATTTGCGAATTATTATCTCTATGGAAGGTTGTTACTCCATCTTTTGCGAGGTAGTCTGATACTTCTTCTGTCGATTTGTGACTTATCTATTGCTATTTTGATGACACGGGTGTCCTCCATTCTGCTCTCAGTGATAATGTGTTTGTTTCACCATATTGTTTACATTTGTAACAGAAAATAAAATACCAATGAAGGTAAATTTAATGCTATATGAAAAATAGCTTAGCTACTATAAAAATATATGATTTACCAATATGGCATTAAGTACTAAACAAACAAAAGTGTAAATTAATATGGGAAAAAAACACAACGAAAACCTTTGTTAAGGGTCTTCTGCGCATACCGGGCGGTCTCGACTGTACCGACGAATGATAACTGTGCGGACTGTGAAGTTAATTATACAGCCGAGCATTGCGTATTTGAATATAATAGGTCCAATCAAGATAGAGCCGAAATGTATACCAAAGTAGGCATATTTAGAGCGCAGAACACAATGACGGTTATGAGAAGGGGAAAAACGATTTTAGGAATATTTTGAATACAATAACAAGAACCCCAAAAGGGGAAATGCGATTGTACACGCTATATACGATTCACCTTGTATAGTTTTTAGAAGATTTCCACTCTCAAAAAAAAACAAGAAATCGAATTCAATATGTTATAAATAAACGTTGTTAGATAATATCAAATCAACATTTTAAAAGTTCCAGCCAGGGAAAGATCTACCAAGTTGGTAAATATCGTTCAGGAGCAGCTTTATTCAAACAAGGAGACAAACCAGCAAACTGTAGACTTCTGATACTGATTAAGAAGAAGCAAATCTCAGATCTGCTAACTTACATTCCATCTCCTAGATTGTTTTATAAAAGTTTACCAGTTTTAAAGAATGACAAAACAGGAGCTTTTAATTAATACGAAACTCGAAAATAATGTCAGTGCTAGGGACTATTAGAATTGGGGTAATATTTTTAAAAATTCAGAGGGCACTTATCTTAAGCACAGAGTAAATAACAATTAGAATGCCCACTCTCCGATGCCGCCTTTGAAGTTTGTCAGCACGCGAACATCATGTTCTAGACGGAAATAGACTCGATTTGAGAAATGTGTGACAAGCTAAAAATTTTTAGAGATTAATAATTTAGTACATTTGAAATAATTTAATCTATTTTTCAACTGAAAGTACGAATAAAATAGTGCATATTATGTCTGTAGTTGTCGTAAATAAATTAAACAGGCTTAATTTGTCTAGGCACACCAGATAAAATGTCACTGAACAGCACTGGTTCCGACTAAAACATGGCTGATTCCGTCCTGCGCGAACAAGATGTGCGTACTTATTTTTTTCAAGCAAAGTGGGCATCCTGATTGTTTATTATTCTGTGTCTTAAGCATCGAGCAAAAGCTCGATTGTTTTAAGTCAGGTTTTTTATTTGAATTTTTTCCCTAACATTTGTTGTTTTGTTTTGCTTTTCTTGTAATTTGGTGTGCGCCTTGCAACGGAGAATGTAATATTTAAATTTACAATAGTGATTTTTTTATAACTAATTATAATAGAAATCCGTTTATTTCATTTTGTTTGTTTTTTAGACGAACTAATTAATATACACTGATTGACTTCTGAACCCTGCATATTAAGAGTAAACTGGCTGTATGCTACGAAGTAATAGACCAAATCACAAAAAAAATAAGTAGAAGGCGAACTTTTCCGCTGTCATTTTTCGTTAATTTAATATTGTTTTGCGTCTATATTCAGAGTTAGACTGTGATTATTGTAAATTAAACAGGAAAACTGATAATGATCAATACATTTTTCTTATTATAGATTAGGCTATTAATAAACCTGAAGAACATTCAGAAGCCTTTTTTTTATACAAAATATGCAAGTAAGTTGTTTTATACATTATCATGACAGTATATTTATTACATTTTAAAAAGATATTAGGTAGATACCTAAAATCCTTGATATTATTTTTCATTGATTTTTATATATTATCAAAGAATATATGCGTATATTCTTTGATATTATATTGTTGGGTATTGACACTGAATGTGAATATCTCATCACTTTATATCAAATGGGAAAATTGTTTGAAAGTTTTTTTATATTCTTTAATTGTTTATGAGAATCTTTGTTCTTCCTACTGCTTCACTTTGAGTTAAGAGATCCTGTGTACTAGCATATTATATCTATAAAATTCATAGTTATGAATACTTGCAAAGTTTGATGTGCTAAAGGATATATTTATTATAGTTTAATATGTCAGGAAGAACCTTTCTACAAGCTATTTGCAGAACAAGACTAGCAACAATTCTTTCTTTTTCTAATCTCTTCATTTAATATATTTCAGGTGAGATTGTAGAAAACACATGGATTTTAAGGCTGTTGCCATGGTTCACTTTCAGCAGAAACTTTAATATCAAAAATGACAGTCAACATAAGCCAACAAGAGTTCTGTGAAAATAAAATGTTTCCAGATAAAGTTTTTCTAACTGTTGCATACTATTTTCTGCACTTTTCTAACTATTGCAAACTATTTTTCGATAAAGAGGTCATCCCAGTGACATCTCTTTCCTGAAAATTAGTATAACTCTATATATAAATGCATAACTACTTATACCTAGTTGTGCATTTTTGCTGTCTTCTACAGATCAAATTAGAGTAATACGTTTTTTTTTTAATATTGTGGAAAAATATTGAAATTGAAGTAAATAAGATTTTTAGTTACTGTTTTGTTTTAGGTAACAAATGGCACGTGTGACTTTCAATACCCAGGATATAGATCGATTCAATGATAGAATACAAAATGTGTTACAAAATCCACCATGTAGGAGCATATACCATAACTACCTCTTTCAGTATAAAAGAATGTACTTGGATGCATTTAAACTTTGGCTTGAAGCCAATGATACCAAAGAATATAATGAAGATAAATTTTTAGATTTAATTGAAGATGTGGATGAATTCAATATGAATCCATTATTCAGTTTGCAGGAGCATGATCACAAAATAGACTTTATTAAACAAGAGTGTTGTAGAATACTTGAAAAGACACGGGCATCTTTTATTGTTTACTTAAGGCGGCATCACATGTAAATAATATATTTATTGAATAAAGTTGTTTGTTATATTTTTACTAAGGTGTTTAATTTTAATATTAGGAAGAATGACAGGTTTAAATTGATGATGCCTTAGATATAGTAATAATAAACTAGATGTAGAACTGGAAGAAAAGAACTGAAGCTGATTTTTAAAGTTTAGTGCTTATGTTGTCTGCAGGTGAAAAGTTTGACGGACTAGAAATGGCTGGAAATTACTATACAACCAAGCACACATACTCATAGCCAATATTAATAGTAAACAAACTAAATAGTAAATAAAATAAAGAACTGTACAAATTACCGCCAATCAATATTTATTTATTTGCTCTATATAATAAATAGTTATGTTAAATTATAACAACTGTAATATATTTTTTAAATATGTACTACTTAAAATTTTATGGGTTTAGTATATCATCATCATCATCACTGGCTCGACACCCTTTTTGGGTCTTGGCCTGTTCAAGGATTCTTCTCCATTCTGACCTGTTTCGTGCTTTTTTTTCCAGTTTTTAATTTTTAATGTGGTTATATCATTTTCTATTTGTTCTACATATCTCAGCTTCGGTCTTCCTCTTGTTCTGTTTCCTACTGGCACTTGTTTGAATATTTTGTTTGGTATTTCGCCTTCTTCCATTCTTTCCACATGTCCAATCCAACGTAGCCTTCCTATTTTAATGAATGTTATGATATCCGGATCCTGGTATATGTTGCATAGTTCAAAGTTATACCTTCTCTGTCAAATCCCGTTTTCTTTTGTGTCCTTATATATGTGTCGCAAGATTTTTCTTTCAAAGGTGGCTAATAACGTTTCCTCCCTTTTAGAGAGTGTCCAGGTTTCTGAACCGTATGTGAGTACCGGTCTTATTAAGGTTTTGTATATTTGGCATTTTGTTTTTCTGGAGACATTATCTGATCTTAGTTGCCTAAGGATTTAGTATATACTTCCACTATTTATAATAATATGAAAAAAGTCTGTAATAGAAGTTTATTTAAGCTGTTGATACTGTGAGCTAGGAACTTTTGTGTTGTAGGTTACCAGCTATGTATCTGTCGAAAGATGCCTGAGCTGAGTGAATGTACCTTAAAGCGGTTTTTTAAAGTAAGATAATCTCCTGTTCATCTAAAACCCATTAAGACATTGTCTGAGTGTCAGCAACAATCCCTATTGGAAATCTTCTGATGGAACGGATGTAGACATTATACATAAATATTTCTTAGCCAATTCTGAGAGATATGGGTATTATGAAACTCTAGATTTCCACCAGTCGAGAGGATTCTCTTTTCTGAATATTAAGTTTCCGTTTAAATATGATTTTACTTCTAAAATAGCGTTGACTTTTGAATCTACCTGTTTGGGTGTTTGAACAAATTTGTCAAAATCTTCCCATATTAAATTTTCCTCTTGTTTGACCTTTGAATGGGATTCTTCCATGTCAATATCATTATGGGCCAATTTTAGAGCTTGGTCTATACTGATTAACTTGGCTACTTCACTTTCTAAACGTTCCCTTGCGACTGTAAGATTTGTTTGAGAAGTAAAAACCATTGCTTTAAATCTCGGGTCCAATAAAGCGCACTTTGCCATTAAACTATTTGATTCAACAGAACCAAATCTCGTAATAATTTCTTGTTCATAATGTTTTATGAGCTCAGTAGTACTTCTAGTACTAACGTTTTGTTTAATTTTATTAACTGCAGATTACAAACCCTTTACAATCATTATTACTTTTGATAGAGTAACATTTTTCTCTGCACTCATTTCGGTAGTTATCTGTTGAAATGGTTTTAACACTTGACAAATCTCGGAGCTTGACGAATCACTTTTTTTCGGAGCTGCTACGAAATTATCATCGATACGTATGATTTCATTCAGATATGGGTATCTATATATACAAAAAAATACGTTTTAAGGCATAAAAAATATATCTGATTTATTATTTATCAACTTTAACATCTGGAAATTGGAAAATATCTTTTAAAAACAAAACTAGATACCTTGGTGCATGTAGAAATTACAATCGCAGGTTATTTTTTTACAATAATCTTTTACACGTAAAAAATATATAAAGTAAATACCTCAATTTTTAAATAAATATTTTTATTGTACAATATATTCCTTTTCCATTTGTTCATAATCACATCCAATATCACAACAAAACATTTGAATATTAGACGCTGCTCCAGCGGTAATCCTATCTTACTCGTAAAATACCTAATAATAAGTAAACTATATACTCGCGTTATTCATAATAATTCGAGATATACACATAACATGAATTTACAACATAGATAAATAATATAACTTACAATGCGTACCTTCAGACGATGTGACGCCAGCCGGTGACTAAGCGGTAGCTAAGTTTATATATAAGATATACTTATATTATATAAGATTTAATATCAATCAGGCACGTAGCCAGGGAGGGGGCTTGGGGGCTTCAGCCCCCCCCCCCCCGAAATTTTCAGAGAATGGACCAAAATTTTTTTAGATTTACAAAACATATTGGCATTAAGCATTAAAGGATAACTATACAGAGTTATTCTATATTTTAGTACAATATCAATAAATGAACAAGCAATGTAAGCTCGATCAAAATTATGTTATCAAATTTTGAAATAGAGGGTTTTACAACTTGTTATAACAACACAATTGGCAGCATTGTGCAGTTCGTGGGAGAAATGGTGCATCATGAGTGACGCAGGCCTGGCCGCGGGCCGCCCACCTCGCTAGTGTCGCTAGGCTAGCAGTAGCATTCAGACAGTGTCAGACGACAGACGATCTGGCTGTATTTTTCATTTTTGAATCTGTGTTGTTGTTTGACGTTGTGGTCAGTTTGTGTCGGACGGGATAAAAGATGAAACGAACAACTCAAGCCAGCATCACATCATTCATCAAAAAACTGAAACAGGAAACTAATTTGTCAATAGGTAAGCGTGTCTATCAATAAATTAAGAAGCTATACTATATTCACTTTAAAGAAAAGTAAACTGTAAACAAAAGAAACGCGTGACCAATTCATACACAGTCATTAGAGGTGCTGAAGACTTATAGACTTATATAATCTTAATAAAACCCTGTACAATTATATAAACATCAGGTTTCACGTGTTCTGTGCATGCATTTGTTGACATGCTACTTTTCTTTAAAGTGAATATAGTATAGTTGAAACCTCCGCCATTATGTAACTGAAGTTAATTAATTCTTTCTATAAAATGGTGAATGCCCGAATCACTTTTTGTTAGTAGTGATAAAGATTACGATTATTTGTGTTTTCTTTCAGATGCTGATGCGTGCAGTTCCAGTTCCATGTCCTGTACAACCAGTGCATTGACACAAGTACAAGTTATCCCCTGTTCAAGCCAAGAGGAAGTTGATGAGGAACTAGTTTCGGGACATGTTCCAAAAACTTGTGAACAATCAATATGGCTTCCAGATTTTTTTGATATAGGTAACATTAAACAAGATATTGACGACAACTTAAAAAAAAATATTCTTAAGTCAGTATTGCTTCCAAAACAGCCGTACGTGTATCCTTCAAGTGAAGGCAAAAAGCAAAAAAGGAAATTCCAAGAAAACTGGGTGACAGACCCAACTTTAGGATTTGCTTTTTTAGGATATTCGAAAAAAGAAGATGCAGTTTATTGCAAACCGTGCTTTTTATTCTTTAATACGGGCGTGGGCAAAGGAGGTCATGAGGCTCCTGGAAAATTGGTCAGTAGTGGATTTAGAGATTGGAAAAAAGCTAAGGAAACCTTCATGAAACATTCCATGACAGATTATCATAAGGCGTGTGTAGTATCTGCAGAACAATTCATGATGGTCATGTCAGGAAAACAAAAGGATGTACATTCACAGCTACACACTCAACACGCGAGAGAAAGAGAGGAGAATAGGTCGGCACTAAGGCCTATAATTGAAACAATACTTTTTTGTGCCGAGCAAGAGCTGCCGTTAAAAGGAGATGAAGACAGTGGGCCACTCACGTTAGAAAAACCAGATAAAAAAGATGGTAAATTTCGTGCTTTACTTCGGTTTAGAGCATGTGCTGGAGACGAAAATTTAAAGAGGCATATTATTAACTGTGGTAAGAACGCTACATATGTAAGTCCTGAGATTCAGAACGAGATTATTCAAACCTGCTCAAATTTAGTGACACAAGAGATTGTTTCTAGAATCCAAAAATCAGATTGCTTCGCTATCCTGGCCGATGAAACAATGGATATCTCAGCAACTGAACAACTCTCAATATGTATCCGTTACGTAGATTATAAGAATGAAACACCCGTAATACGAGAAGATTTTGTTGGATTTGTACCAATATACAGTCAAAGTGCAGAGCATATTACGAAAGTAATTTTGGAAAAATGTAACAATTTGAATTTAAATTTGAACAAGTGTGTAGGACAAGGGTATGATGGAGTTGCCACCATGTCTGGCCATCTTACTGGAGTTCAAACCAGGATCAGAGAGAAATACCCAAAAGCAAGGTACTTCCATTGTGCCAGCCATAGATTAAACCTTGTATTGGGTGATACATTTTCAAATTCTTGTGTTAGAAACTGCTTAGGAGCAATAAAAGAGATTACAAATTTCTTCAGAAACAGTACACACGCTAACAATATTTTACAACACAATATTAACATTCATGCCGCTGATTCAAAGAAAAAAAGGCTAACACGTCTATGCGAAACACGTTTCGTTGAAAGACACAACAGTGTGTTAACATTTGCGGAGCTATTGCATCCTATTGTTGTAAGCTTAGAAGAAATATCACAGACACCCCAGAAAATATCTTCTTCAGCAGCAAGCTTCTTGGCTACAGTTGGAAAAAGTGACTTCATCGTGAGCCTGTTTGTGTGTGAAAAACTCTTTAGCCTTACTTTGCCCCTGTCTGTATCACTTCAGGAAAAAAATCTAGATATGGTGTCTACTATTAACCATGCAGAAACATTATTGGAGTCTTTGAAATCTATGAGAAATAATGCAATGAATGATTTTAGAGACATGTTTACTTCAGCTGAAACACTAAGTCGGGAAATATTTGAGTGTCCATTGGCAATTCCCAGACTGATTTCACGTCAGCCACATCGTTCAAATCCAGAGACTAATTCAATTGAAGATTATTTCAGAGTAACAATGTACATACCATGTGTTGACTCACTTATTCAAAATTTAACAGAAAGGTTTTTAGCGAATGAAGACATTTTATCTAGTTTTCAAATCCTCCTTCCGGGATTTACAAGTCCTGAAAAAGTAAATCTGTTGGAAAATCTAACTCAATATTTTGAGGGGAATCTATCTCTAGCTGCTGTAAAAGCTGAGTATATACTGTGGTGTAACAGTACAAAAGGAGAACTGAAAAAGGAGACTGAAGTTTTGAAAGTTCTTGAACTATGTGACAAAACGTACTACCGGACAATACATTACCTCCTGACGGTATTAGCTACTATGCCAGTGACCACTTGCAGTGTGGAAAGGACTTTTTCAACAATGAAAAGGGTGAAAAGTGTTCACAGAAGTTTAATGTCAGATAAAAAGTTGAGCGCACTAGTTATGGTAGCCACTCATCGAGATATAAATATAAAACCCGATCATATAATTGACAAAATGGCAGGCGCGAAGAAAAGGAGACTGCTACTATAATTTAATTGAATTGAACCACAATACTGTAAATTAAGCAGGAGTTAAATAAACTATCTGTAAATTGTATGTTTAATTTGTAAATAAGTACACTTTTATATATATATATATATATATGTTGTTCAATTATACATATTTTAAAAGTTAAAGTCTTTCATGTTATTTATTTCTTCCCGTCATCGTCATTATTTTTTATTATAAGTATACACTATTTATTCTTGGAATAGTCTACATTTAAGTTTACATATGAGGCAGACCCGAAATCAACCCATCAAATTAGCCCCCCCCCCCCCCCCAAAACCAAATCCTGGCTACGTGCCTGATATCAATAGTATTTTCATTCAGCAGCACAAGATGAAATAGGAGCAGAAACTTGTACCCGAAAAAATTACTGGTTTGACGATGAATGCAAAGACACAACACAGAAAAAAAAATGAAGCTTATGCAAAAATGCTTACCCGCCGGACTTGTGTAGCGAATTACCAGACAAAGAGAAGAAAAGAAAATATACAAAATGAAGAAACGAAACCACTTAAAAAAGGAACTTCAATATATAGAAAACCTCAACAGAGAGAAAGAATTCAGAACATTCTATAAGGAAGTTAACATCAACAGAAAAGAATTCAAGGCAAACACAAATCAATGTAGAAGTTTTAATGGCGATCTATTAACAACAAGAACAGACGTACTAAATCGATGGACGGAATATTTTAACCAGATACTTAATATAGAGGAAGAAACAGAAAACCCAGAAGACGAAAGCAGTGCGGTAAGCGGAGCAGACGAGAGGGAGGAGAATTCACCAACGATCCTTGGAAGTTAAAGACGCTGTAGACAAACTAGCCAGAAACAAATCACTCGGAATAGATAATCTCCCAGTGGAATTATATAAAGAAGGTGGCGACGATATCATAATAGCGCTATAGCAGCTTATAAAAGAAATA